TATATATATATATATAGTTGATATCACAAAAGCAAATAATTTCTGGTGTTATCGCTTATTGGGATATCAGATCAAGAAAGGGCAAGATTTCCATATAACCACATATTTTAATTATGCATAGAGCGTTGAAAAGAAACCTTTATATGTAGTCTTTACGAAATGGAATACATAATGAATGTATGGGGTTATATGGAAATCTTTCCTAAGAAAGAATAAGGCTATTAATAAACAGTTTCATTTTGCAGAAGGCTTTTCTAGTTATTAATTTGACAATAGCCTATTGCAGAAACGTGACAGGACTGGGACGAGTTCCTTATATTGATTACATTGAAAATCTAAACATTTCAACTGGAATGTTACTGAATGAAAAGCTGCCCAGTCAAGTTTGAGAGTTTTCAGCGGAAAGTGTCCAAATCGGAGCCTTGCAAGACTTGCAAAAGTTCCATACAAACCCTTAAAAGTTTTTTCCCTGTCTACCCAATTCATACAAACTCTCTATTTTAGGTGATATTTGAAAAGCTGTCATTTTGGCATTTTCCTCTTCTAAATACTTCTATTCTTGCTTAAGACTGAAATTTAGTTGATCTTTCATTTGAATATCTTAGTTTTTCAGACAAACGGAAAACAACCACACTCTTTCCCAGTCCTCTCACGTTTCTGCAATGGCCTCTGCACTGTACGTTGTAAAATTGCAAAGGAAAACACTAAATTTAGGTTGAAAAACACTGAAATACTTACTTACCTTCGGTCGTAAAACGTTTTTCACTTGCCTACCGTAAAACTTTGAGTTTGTGTTCACTACATGCCGATGTTTCTTGTATTCTCCAGTGTGACGACATAAGCTATTGGCAAAAAGGGTCACGCAAGCAAGCAAAGGCCTGGGCACAAATTCAGTAGGCTTGGCTATTGAGTCGAGCCTGGTTTCTGAGCTTATTCAAAAGATTTACGCCCGCGTGAAAGTGAACTGCTGATTTCGTCGGCGGATTTATCGGCAGAAGTTGGAAATGGCTGAGTTTTATACGAGTTCTTCTTCTAGTGATAATTCCAGTGTAGGTATTAATTTAGGCAATATTTCCGTTTAACCCCATACTTCACTATGCCTACAATTCTTGGATAAAAGAAAGCAGATGCAAAACAATAGATTACTTTCGGGATGACGACTTTCTTTTTGATTGGTATGGTTTTATACGGATATCTTTCCTTAATTTACTATTTATGTTATCTTCTGTATTTCAATGTTTGTCGTCTCAGTAATTTAAGGTAAGCATACCTACTGGAAGCTTAAACTGAATCGTATTCGACTATTCCAGCAGCTGTTTTCGCTTGCTATAGTCGCTTTCCTTGTCACCATTTCCGAAACTTATCATCTTCGAAATTTATCGTTCGAAACTTATCATCTTCGAAACTTATCGTTCTTTTCCCAATAATTTTCAGCTAGAATTTAATAGGAGCCCTGATAATACTTGCGTTTAGTGTAATTTTCGACTGTAAAGTGTGAAATTTAGCACGATCGCCATTTTTATCTGTATCAGCACTACAAAAACCTTTTTTGTTTTGCCGGTAAGATAACTGTGACGGAACTTCAAGTTTTCGTGAATCTTTTGTATAACTGATGTCTCTCGAGTGAGACTACATGTTAAGAGTAGATCCGTGCAAGAATCAAACAAAATTGCAAATCTTCGGCAAAGCTGAAAAAAATCAAATTCACTCGTCTTTTACATATAGGTAGCCTTTAGTAAGTATATGAATGTAGTTTTTTCCTTGAAATATCTGTTAATTCCTGAGAAAAATGATGGAAACCGTTTTCAACTTACGGGGCACAATTTGGCGATCCCAAACAAGCGCAAAAAGGTTTGAAATTAGTCATGATTCACTGACTCGCTTGTCAAAACTACTGCGATAGAAAAGCCGTCATACTTCCAATTTGTTGTATAACTTACCATGGTCTAAACACGATGATTTCTATGATATTCTCGAATTTTCGAAGTGCTTCATATTACCGTTTGTCTAATTTCATTCGTGAGGTTTATCATGAACAGAGAGGCCCGCCGCTGCAGCCACGATCAAAACCGGCTTAGTTTTCCACGAATTCTTCGTAGTTCACTTTTCAGATTTGTACTCTTTATACTGTTAGCACAATTTATCCTGAAAATTCTGAGGAAACCGTAAAAGGGGTGACAGTAAAGCCAACTAGTTCAAGCAGGTGTTCCCATGCAGTTTACCGTGAATCCGTTTTGAAACTATATATATGCAAATTACGTCTCGCTTGCAAAGCAACACAAAATTTGCATATCAGGCTGATATGCAATTTCACTAATTCTGTCATCATCCACGTTAATCTTCTCAATGATTGTCTCTGCTTTCCTAAGAATATCGGATAAAGATGCTGGATGATCCTTTATAGGGCTTCTAATGTTCTCCTGTTTGGTTCTTTCATTCTCTTCAAAATCAACTTGTATTTCGTGACAAAAAACAAGATTTATGTCATCGGCTGTCATAACATCAGGGAGATCATGAACTACAGTTTCAGATAGAATGTAATTTTCTTTACTACTAAAAATGTGGAAGATTGGTGGCAGTGGACTACATTGATTTGCATCATGAATATTTCTTTTCAAGTTATTTTTGTGTTCCTCCATCTTTTCTTTCTCCAGATCATCAATAGCAAAATATTTTTCTGTCATGGCCGGAGTAGGCTTCAATTTATTTAGAGGGGCTCATTTCCAAACTTGGCTTTGTAAAAATTTATATCTTCCACAAGGACTGGCTCAACCTTGGCACCTGCCAAATAAAAAAAAATTAACAAAAATGTTTCCAAAAGAGGAAAATTAAAAATGTTTGAACAATAGGTGAAATGCTGTTACCTTTAGGATCGGACCATGAACATGGCAAATCAGTGCAAGTGAGATCTGGTGGAGGCTGCTGTTTTTCCTCTGCCACAACCTCACAGAGCATAAAAGGAAGTGCTCCAATATGGCTGTAGTCACTTATCAATCTATAAATAAATAATTAATACTACATCAGGAAAATCATTCAGAGCTACGTGTATTAACTGTTTTATAAATGGTAGAACAAACATACCCAACAGTACATGTGCAGTAGGTAAACACTGGCTTGCTTTTAGACCTTTGTAGTACCAAGTATATCAGTTTACTTTCTTCACGGTCAATAGAAAACGAGGGATTACAATTGCCTCTTAGAGCCCAAAATTTCTTGTATTCAGGAAGCAAATGAATTCTGAAGAAACAAGAAAAAAAAGAATCAATTTAACAACTCTTAAAAGAGACCAGTATTGCTACTCTAAATTGTAAACTTACTTGACTGAATGAATTCCTTTCTTGTGCTCCCAAGCACGTAGTGTTTTGTATTTTCTCACTGCTTTCTTGTCGTAGCCAGCTCCAATCAAGTACTCTTTTACTATGGATTCTTCCATCAGTAGTGGTACTCCATTTAAGTTTTTCTGCCAGTCTGTTAGTTTTTGAAGAAACATAATTGTTGGAGTGTTGGTGCACGAACGAGAAGATTGTTTGGTAGCATTGCTTCCAGGACCCGAAGTGGAGATTTTTAAAGCGTTACATACGACGTTGACAAGCGCCTTTTTACCGATTGATTTTTCAAAATCAATAGATAGTACTTTTAAATTTCTTTCAACCTCGGTTTAGTTAAACTGGACACTTCTTTTAAGGGTTTTGGGAGTTTTAAATTCACCTTGCTTTAAGCACCAAAATAAACGAAATAGCACGAAAGTAGAGAGTAGAAATTGAGACATCGTCAATTACCATTCTGTTTCGCCAATTTCTGTTTCGCTTTGTTGGGGTGTCGCCAAATCGATCCCAGGACTGAAAACGAAACGTTTTGGTTTTTTTTCGGAAAAAGATAATACTTCAAGGAAAAAACTACAAAGCATTTGTATTTTTTCAAAAGACTACTTGTATGCAAAAGAACAGCGAATTTTAATTTTTCAACTTTGCCATGCAATGTTTGATTTTTGCACGGATTTGCTCTTAAGTATCCAGAGCTCGAAATTAAAAAAAATTTACGGTCGCTTTTTGCGAGTAATTCCTAAAATTTAGTCGCAAGTTCGAAAATTTTAGTCGCAAAAGTAACCGGGACTAGACTAGAAACGAAGAATTCCTAGACGTTTCATGAGCGTTGCACGACGAGGTTTCTGAAAAAGTGTGCCTGCGATACGTTTCTCAGCAAGAAATCAACCATAAAAGTCACGCAACATTTAACCTGAATTTCGCAGGATTTTTCGGA